CCAATGCTTTGCAAATAAATAAACTACTTTATTATAAACAAAAAACTGTAATTTATAGCTGAAATATTATTGGAGAGAGAAAAAGAAAAGAAATTGGAGGAAGAAAAGGAAAGGTTAGAATTTGAGGYTCAGGCAGCAAGAGCATCATGTTCCAGTCCTTTTAGTGCAGAATCATCACATTCATTATCTTACAACGATAATGAATACACAAATCAAAGTGCCAGTAATGTATCTAGTTGCTCTTCAATTTCTAATAAGCTACAAGTATCTAGTAGTGATTCATCTTGCCAAACTCCGCTTCATCTCTCTAACAAAACTCCCAGAAAATTAAAACTATATAATGAACTTCATGCCAAAAACAAAGAAATAAAAGAGATGAAGAAACAAATTAACGCCATGACTCAACAATTAGTGCAAGTTAATAATGTAGAACAATTGTTAAATTTAAGCAACCAGTTTTTACCTCCTAGCTTATGTTTAATTATTAACACACATATTAATCGTAGGAATACAAAAGCAACTGGATATAGGTATAGTAATGAATTTAAACAGTTAGCTCTAACTATTTATTTCTTAGGGCCAAAGGTATATAAATTCTTACAATCAACCCTTGCTCTGCCTAATCCGTGTACACTAAAACGCATAACAAAACGTTATGAAATAAGTCCTGGTCTTAATGATTTCTTGTTTAACTTTTTACAATTTAAAACACAAAATTTTTTACCTGAATCTTTAGAATGTGTGTTGTGTGCAGATGAAATGTCTATAAAAAGTAATTTATATTATAACATAAGTAAGGATGAAATAATAGGCTTCAATGAATCCAACAATCGTAAAACATATGAACCAGCAAAATTTGTACTTGTTTTAATGATTCGAGGTATAAATTTTAATTGGAAACAACCGATTGCTTATTTTTTTATATCAAATAGTTGTACAGGTTTTGATTTGCAGGACATAATTTTAACCAGTATTTTTAAGTTAAATAATATTAAAATTAATGTAAAAGCATTTATTAGTGAAATGGGTTCCAATTTCATAGGCCTATCAAATAAACTGCAAGTTAGTCCCGAGCGTCCATATTTTGAAGTTAACAATCATAAAATAGTGTATTTATTTGATCCACCACATCTATTAAAAGCCACCAGAAACATGTTTTATCAACATAATTTTATGTTTAATAATGAAATTATTGAAAAAAAACATTTAGTTTCATTTTTTAATGAAGATAGTCAAAATAATCTTCGAACTGCTCCTAAACTAACATATTCACATATATTCCCTGGGCCTTTTGAAAAAATGCGTGTTTACTTAGCAGCACAGGTTTTTAGTGAGAGTGTCATGTCTGCAATGCTAGTTTACTTAGAATCAAACCGTTTACCTGACTCCTCGCTACCTACAATCAACTTTATTAAAAATATGGATAAACTTTTTGACATATTTAATTCATCTAGACGACCTGGCTTAAAAATGTTTAATAGACCTTTTAAAAACACTGATGCCCAAATATCACATTTAAAATTTATGGAAAACT